TATTTTAACTATTTCAGATGCGGTTTTTTGCGTTTTTGATTGTGTTTTAATAGGGTACGTCAAGAAAATGTACACTAAGGGATTTTTCGAAAAATCCCCCCACACGGGGGAAGTATTATACATTTATAATAGATACATTTTGAGCCACAACAACGCGTGGCGGGGTCTGCTAGTAGACTAATACATACATACATACATAGAAATTCTCCCCTCAACCATGACGGAGATTTCAAGAAATCTAATAGTGTTGCTAATATTTCTACAGATTAAGTATTTTATGCTGGAGGTTGCCGTTGTGATGCTGTTTTTGCAGCCCTTGACAAAACCATTCTTACTAGATGTTGCTCATGTCGGCCTTCAGTGTCTGTTCTTATTCTTTTAGATTTAGAATTTTCCTGACTAATTTTACACTTACGCTTTCCCCTAGCCATTTTTGCTATTTTGTCAAAAAAGTCTTTTTATTTCCACATTGATAAAACCAAGATGAATGTACAGTGCGTTAATTAGATGAGCAATAACGCTTTCTAAATAACGGGCTTGTTAGATCGCTACTTCCGATTGGGGCGGTCCATCAGTGGCCAAGCGGTCTTCGTTCCCTGAACACTGGAGTTCGGTCGTGGGTTCGCTCCTCTCTCCCCGGCCACGTGGAGTTTTCCGGGTTTTCTTCATGTCTGTAACGCCAGTTTCCGTTAAAAAAGACCTCCCGGAAGGCATCCCCCTAGGCAGATCGCCCAAGTGTTGCGTTGCCATAACTAAAACAAACTTCCGATTGGATAATAGAACGTCACGGTGTCACTATGGAAAGATTTTTTAAAAAGTTGTTATAGAAGTGATTCGATAAGGCTATCTTTTTTTAAAGTTTAAATTTTAAATTTAATGAATTTTAAAATACGCCATTTTCCAAGTATTTATATGTAAAAATTCAACTTAAGGGAAGTTCAAGCATAAATGTCACGTTGTCACTGAGATACTGTAACGTAGGCCTAAGGGCGATCACTGATCCGAAAGCGATAAAACGTTTATTCTATAGCTAATATTTCCGCAAAATAAGTAGTCCTTACTTTCCATCAGAACATCAAACGGATATAACCAAAATTTCTTCTGTATTGGACAAAAATTGCAGGAGTTATGAGGAATTCACACACAGACAGACAGTGACGACTTTTATTTTAGTAATATATATTATTATTTATATTAATTAATTAATAATATATATAATAGGTGAAACTGGTAGATCTTTAGGAATTAGAGTAAAAGAGCATGAATCAGCAATTAGATTAATAAAGTACGAACAATCTACGTGGTTTATTCACTGTAATAAATATAATTTACTATAGATAAAAGTAATGTAAAAATATTAGCTAGGGGAAAAATATTTACTTACGAAAATTTAGCATATAACGATAACAAATAATAAGGACGTGGCTATTTATACATACTGATTGTATGTTCCTATATTCCGGCCGGTATGCCGGATACCGACTGTATGCGCTATTATTACAGTTAATATTTTGATAATAACTACACAATTATAAAGTTCAGTTACAATGTTGTTCAATATAGTAATCAATAAACTATGAAGTATCATTAAATCAGTGAAATATAGGTAATGAAATTTAAAGTAGATTGGTAGGTAAACCAATAAAGTAAAATAAATATATTATTTTTTATTCTGTATTTTTTTTTGTAAAAAGTGGTCTGCTTAGTCTTTCTCTTCGGACGTCCTTGGATTTAATTTTAGTTTTGAATTTTAAGTTTTTATTTGATTGATTTGAACAGGGCTCGTTATTAGACCGAATTTGTTCTTCAGGTTCTGGTTCAATTGTAAGCCCACTACTCCCATGTTCAAAAAGAAAAATTCCATTTCTTGCATTGCTTTCTATTACTTTTAATTCCTCTACATATTTATTGAAGGCTTGCGTTCCATAATTAGACAAAATATCTGCAATATTTTTAGTTATCACCAGTGCCATATTAAATTTTTCCCTATCCAATAATTTGTTGGGACAATCAAAATCATCAGTAAAAGTTTCATCTTCAATATGATTATCGATGTCTACATTTACATCATCTGTATCCATACTTACAAGTTAGTGCATTTTCAATTGAAATAATATATCTTGCATAAAAGCAATTTTTGAAAATATGTCCAAATTATTATATTTTCTTATAAGAATATGACGACATGGTGCACTAAAAGAATTCCAAAATGAACAAGAACATGTTTCCACCGATGTATTGTAAAATTTTGATATTTTGCTATCAAGATTTTCCTCAATGCTATTATTTTTAATTCTTATTTCTCGATAATTGATATCATAATCAGGATATCGATAATCGAAATTTAGGATATCATAAAAACATTAAAACTGTCATCTTTGCGTCATGGCTTTAAAATGGTTAAATAGACAATTGCATATATATACTGTATGTATAAATAGCCAGTTTGTAATAATAAATTTATTAATGCATTATTATTATTAAATAGAAGAATGGAAACCAACGACGTATGGTATGACATTATTATCTGTAATAAGTGCTATAGATGCGGATAGAATAATGAGAATGTGTTATGAATCCGTGAATATAGTTTTAATGATTGTAAATTTACTACATTGTGAAAGTTTTAATCGTATAATTTACCTTATTTATAATTGTGTACTTTTTAAAACATTTTTTAGCCTGAAGAGGGATGTGTAGCATCCGAAATGCATAGCATTAAATGTTTATAAAATATTGATTTTATGGTAAAAGACACAAAGTTTAATATAGAAAGAAACCTTTCCATAAGTACAATAATTTTAGAACTCAATACTTTATCGTAGTATATTCATGCTGTTATAATTACAGACATTATAATACAAATTTAAAAAACCATTTATTACCTAATTTACACAGTAGTTAATGTTATTTCACAGTTACTCTGTTTCTTCTTTTTTCCATTAACAGTTCTGCACAATCTTTATGCTCTTCTTGTTGCTTCTTATACCTTTGGTGGCAAATTCCTTGTACTGCATCTCTAATTAGTTTAGGTTCGGGTTCATACAGCGAACAGCTAAGATTTTTCCTACTGATTGCTTGTTTAGCAAGCAACCTGTTTTTTGACGATTTAACAGTTAACCTATTAGTTTGTTTGGTCTTAATGTTAATTTGCGAAAATATTTTCTCGACACTGGCTGAGGAATGTGGAAGAACTGTGAGCTGCGTCAAAAATTGAGATGATAGGGCATATTTACAGTTACCAAAACCATCCTGTATATTGCGTAACAAGAACCAATATTCTGGTATACTATTATATTGTATGACCAAATCTTTTGCTAAACGAAATGATCGCCATTCGTCATCTAACTGGTTAAGTTCGTTTTCCGCAATTAATGTTGGGAAACGGAAGCCGACATATCCCTCACCACTCGGCCGCCCCCATTGTGGGCCTGGCCGAACCCATAATTGCCACAGATAATTTATATACAGTATTAGACTCAATAAGTTCATTTCTTAAAATTTACAACACTAACATTATGTTGTAGGTAAGTTACACTTATTAAATACTGTATACAGTATAATTATTCACATTTAAGAATTAATAGAATAAATGCAACATGTTTAGCTGCCGTCATTTTAATTCTCCTAAAACTTTTGTTCTAAAATTTACACCACTTCATATACAAACTTACAATGTACTGTACTGTATATTTTCAAAATATACAACATATATATATCATGCCCATATTTAAGAATAAAAAATATTACTACTTTCTCCATTTTTAAACCACAGTGTTGCAAACATTATTGCATAAAGCGATATATTTTAATTTAAAAATACACGTAAGCCATCCTGATTTTTAATTAAGTAGCTGGAGTTAAGATGATGTTGCTTGTGTCATGATAGCAAATCATTGCGGGGTATGATTTCATAGCTTGATCAGGTGCTTAAGTGTATCTGAGTGTTTTTAACTCCACGTGATTCAGGATTCAGCAAATAAAGTACAGTACAGTACCATGCTTTTCGTTTTTGTTTCTAAAATCTAATTTTTTTATTATTTAAGTCATTTTATTTTAAGTCATATTTTAAAAACTCATATTTTACGAAAATTAGAAAAAAAAACAACCACGAAACCAAGAGAAGGTCGAAAAATCCAGATCTGAGGACCTATTTTGAGCTCTTCCGATAACTCAACGAGAGCGATACACGGGACATTCGATAAGTCCCCTTAACGTAATTAAGGCGGCTATACACGATGGGTTAATCCTCAAAGGAGTAACCATGCATGCCTGATTTTGAGTTATTCCTGGAAGTGTGTGGGGGAAAATTTAACAGTTTCAGCGAACTGTACCGACCACCTGAGTAGAATCGCCCATACTCGTTAGGTTAATCCTCAAAGGAGNTTTTTTTTTTGGAAATGAAGGTAATTGATTGGGTAGTATTATCAGAAATCCCTCTGTGAGCATGAATATGACTGAAAACATTTTGTTTATTTCCAGTTTTAGTTTTTACATATATAAAAATTTAAGATTATAATAAAAGTTGTTACATAATGGGTGCCAACTCTATGGTGTCTTAGTTCCAAGTTAAAGGATAAAAATTATTAAAATTATTTTTATCCTTCACTTTGGGGACCTGGCACCACTTAAATATTTTTGGATGGACTGGTTCTGAACTGGTTCTGGCCCAGAGTTGACCAACTGTCCTTGGTTATACTGTATGTATATTTTAATTACCTTGTAAGTCATGCACCATAAATTCATTGTAAATTGTAATGAAACAGGTAAAATCAATGAAGTTTCATAATTCATTTTTATACAGTTAAGTAAAATTAAAGAAAAATATAATGTATAATATAATATAATATTCTTTATTATAATAGATTATAGATTTTAAAGTTTGAAAATTAAAAAAAAAAATTGAAAACATTTATTTGAACTTATTCAATGCAGATTTTTATATTTTGTTTAAGATTTATTGCTTAAGTTAAATGAAATGAATAATTTTTCCATTACAGAAGAAAATCCTAAGCATCGATTTGGTCTGAATCATTTTGAAAAGTATCATTATGAAAATGAAAAACCTTCCACTACACAACATACTCAACATATGCCATTTTATATGGACACAAATAAAGTTTACTTTGGCTTCAAGAAAGATGAAGTGAAAATAGATCCCCATAGTAAATTTACATTAGTATTACCTCCAGGATCAGAGTGTAAAGAGTATCAACCTGAAGAACTGTAAGTAAATTTCAATTTCTAGTTTTTCAGTATAGATTATAATTTTTCTTAACACACTAAGTAAATATATTTGTTTATTTTAGTAATAATATTAAAGAAGATGTAACAGCCTGGGATCAAGGAAATATGTGGCCTTTTACATGTTACAGTCCAAGAGATAGAAATTGTTTAACATGTTTCGAAGATATATCTCCAGAAGAATCACCATGGGGTATGATTGAAGCTGAACGTTATGGAACAGTACTTCCATACGTAAGTATTATATTTATAAATTTTTGTTTCATTAAATTATTTCTTACATTTTAAATTATTTTAAAAATCAAAATATTATTTATTGACCAAAAACATTTATATGTGAAACTAAATTTTGCTGAAACTGTAAAACAGCCATAATGCAATGTTGACTAAAGCATTAATCTGATTTCTGCTAAAAGCAAGTTCTTTACTTTGCTAAGAAAAATAATCAAAATATTATTTATTGACCAAAAACATTTATATGTGAAACTAAATTTTGCTGATACTGTAAAACAGCCATAATGCATTGTTGACTAAAGCATTAACCTGATTTCTGTTAAAAGCAAGTTCTTTACTTTGCTAAGAAAAATGAGCAAGATTTTTTATCTTGCTATTTTAAGTGAAATTTTCCTACATTGACTGAGATAACTACAATAAATCTATTAATAGTTATTGGAGCTCTAGAAAATTGTTAAAAGAAAATACTAAGAACTTGTTCAGATTCAAAAAAGGATTATTATAATAATAATCATTGTTTGATTAACAAATCTATAAACATCATCATGAATGCTCTCATGCCCTGCTGCTTACAAGAGAAATACAATACAGCTAGTTCAGGGAGGCACAGAAAGCATTCCCAAATAAGTAGAGATGAAATTCATAATTGGTTATAAGAAATGATGTAGAGAGTTTTATTAGACAGATAGTGAAACCTCCATTAATGGACACTCCCAAATAGTGGGGCACCTCTACTTAATGGACATTTTTACAATCCTCAGACCCTTCAAATAGGACATCTGTTATATTCACCTCTAAATAATAGATGCCGTCGTCCATAATCAACCTTACAAAAACATAATATCCTGCCTTCAATATTTGTAAAGAATTAGTTATGTACGAAATATTTTAAAATGAAAACAAATAATCTGTTTAAATACTCTTTCAGATTATGAATTTTGACTATAGGTGTTAAATAAAGACTAGCTTAAAATAGGAATAGGGGAGGAGGACAGGTTATAAAACATCAAACAGTATTCTTTATGTTAGATAAGTTTAATCTGATTAAGTTGTCAATCACCATTTGTCATCATACACATTAATGTTATTAAACTTCTGTCTTATTGTTGGAATTAAGCTTATGATACTGAAGACACTATGATCTTTTCCAAAATTTCATTTGACAAGAACTGTAGTATAATAGTAACAAAAAAGAAACTTAAGTGCATAAATTATGTCATAAATGCGAGAAAACCAAATATCTTCCCACATTTTAAAGTGGTCGGCAAATCACCTTCATAACACAACCTTTGAACTTTCACCAAACAAATAATGTTGTCATAACCATTTTAACAGCTTTGTGGTCACTAAAGTGTAATTTTTAATAAATCAGTTACTGAATAAAGCAAAAAAATTTTTGAAAAGTTACACCTACTTGATAACTACAGAGCAGACAATCCTGTATTTATTTTTATTAGTCACTTAGATCATAAATGATGATATAAATGTAACAATTCAAACCATATTAACCACTCCTTGAAGTGGATAGCAAATCACCTTCATAACATGACATTCGAACGAGATTCAATTAAAACAAGATTTTTACAGCTGAAAAAATAAATAATATATTGTATATACATTTTAATTATATATGCTATGCATATTTTTCTGTATATTCACATTCCTAATGAAAATTTGATGTCTTCATAATTATATTCTTCACTTTATAATGACAAGCTTAAAATACAATATGGCCACCAGCATGTATCAGTACCTCCGAATAGTGGACAAACATCTTGGTCCCAATGGTGTCTACTATTCTGAGATTATACTGTATATATTTTTCATATTTTCATTCTTAATATAAACTTTTGTGTTTTATACAAGATTCGTGATGATGTAGGCCTTACAGAATGCCAGATACTTCAGTTTAGGTATATCAAATTGTTTAAACTTTTGACTGTAGGAATTGTTTCAAATTTTGATTAAAAAGTCTTTCAGTTTTGCTTCTTTACCAAAGTAATCAATATCATTTTTAATAATTTTTTGTTAGCAGACATTAATGTTTTATTAATCATTATGTTTAATTTTATTTAATGTCATATAAATGATATACCAAATCAATTAACAATTCACTTTCTTTAAGAGGAGCTTTTCTTTTAGATGTTATTATTTAATTACTGCTAGTTTTTAAATCAAAGTTTAAATGGATAAGTAAAATAATGCTAAGCTGTAAGATGTTTTGAGTCTTCAAACATCTCTAGTTGTTTAAAAATATTTTTCGATTTGACCTCACTACATCATTTTTTAATTTCTTTCTATGGTCAAACAGTACAATATGTTACATGATAATTTGATCAGTTGGTCTCTTGCAAAATTTTTTTAAAAACATATTTAGTACTTAAAAAATTTAAATTTAAAATACGACCAAAATCCTGTAAATTAAGCATAATGATTATAATGTTATGACTAATAATTTTTANGAGGTTTTCTTCGTTTGTGGGCGATAGGAAATTCTGAAGTCCCTCAAGGACAGGCAGCCTCAAAGGATTAACTTATCGTGTATATAAGCTGCCTTTAGACAAATCGCTATTCTGTGCTCCACGTTAAATGGGTTTCGCTACGGGTAGTCGGTCGAGATGCGTCTTGATTCCTTGTTATCGATAGCTGTTACACTTTAACCAATTACAGTTTAGTTAACATTGTATTTTTGTCACGTAACTGCAACCAGCTATTTTCTAAGCGAAGCACGTGGTTTTAGCATTGTCGTGTACCAGCGCTAGTGAAATCGTTTTGTTTTAAAATTTCGAAGAAAGGCCAACTAAGCCAGCGAACTACAAGTCGCCAGTTCGAGATGCTCGTTAATTTTATAGAAGACAACCCTAAATTAATATCAGGGAAGTTAGACGCTTTCTTTACCGAAAAGATCGCCAGAAATTGTGGCAAGAAATAGCCGACCGTCTGAATTCCGATGGAGTCGGCTCACAAAAAGACCCAGAAAGATGGCGAAAAGTAATTGAGAGCTTAGAATATAAATACAGTATATAAATATATGACTATCATTTTAATTTATACATATGCGAATGAAACCTATTTCAGAAATAATGTTCACGCTATAGCTACTTTAAATTTTAACAAGAAAGCAATTACATTATTCATACAATATTCATAAATAGTTAAGGTAATTATTTTTCGCAATACAACAACATAGTTTATTAACTGTCTCTCTCCAATTGTTCGTGAAGTAAAATCGTTCTTATATCAAAAGACGAATTGTTTACACTTTCGTTACGTTCCTAACGGCAGGTGGAGAGTGACCGATAACAAAAGCTTAGTTATCGCACGTGGCTATCGGAACCGAAAACGAAACGTTCGGCTCGGAATAGCATTTTTGTGAGTTTTGTCGATTGGGGAGAAAGTGTCACGACAATCGAGCGGTCAGCACTGTCGTGTGGGAGTGAAAAAACTTACTGAGACAGGTTCTCCATCATAAATCGTTTAATAAATATAAAAATTTCTCTTACAACAAATTCTGAAAAAGGCGTAATACGTATCCAAAGTCGAGAAACAAGTCTGTAACACAAAAAGTTCGACTGTTCTGACGGTAGTTTTTCTTCCGGTGATGGTGGCGTGAAGACGTCGGCTCCGGAGTGCACAACACTACTTGGACCGAGGTCTTCTAGCTACAAGGTGGACTTTAGCGATCTTGATGGAACGGGAGGCGAAGACAAGTCTCCGAATATCTAACAAGCTCTCGTGGGAGAACGTCCGGATGACAAGAATCTTGTAGAGGAGCACTGCGAACCAAAGACCAAGAACGTCACATCCTTTTTTCGCGCGGTTTTTATAAGTTTCCTTTGGGTCCCAGACCGAACATTCCGATAGGTCGATGCCGATTTGCCCCACTCTCCAATTGGTCCCCCTCCTCGTTACGAATTGTAACGAGATCGGAACCCAGATCGTGGGATGAGTCAACAAATTAGAAAAATTTTTCTTTTTTTGCACAAATTCTAGGCCCACTTCCGAAGCTTCACATTTTCACGGTTGATTAAACGCGAATTACGTGGTTCCAATAGAAACTGGTTTTTATCGTATTCGTTAGCTTAACGATACTATTTAGAATAGGCCCCCTGGGTTTTAAAACCAAGGAGTGGTAACCCTGCTAATGACTTTTTTCTGAAGTCGTTTATGGTAGATAAGACAGGCATGCCAGTACAATAGATTCGACCAATCACCCGTTTTCATTTTAAGGTTAAAAGGTTGACGTCAGTGTTGGAGGTTATATTGTCTGTCTTAATGATTATCAACTATTTCGAGTAGAGTTAGAGTGGTAGCGAGTTCGTTAAATAAAGACAGACAGTAACGAAATGTCTTTCACGAAGGTCCCCGTTTGTCGATATTTTCTTCAAGGAAACTGTATATACGGAGACCAATGTTGGTATCAGCATCCTGGTAAGTTTCAATGGGTTCTTTTTTATACATAGATCAAGTAAAAAAAAAATGTAGAAGCTTTATGGAACTAATTCATAATTCATGAACTAATTCTTTAGTCGCGTGCCCGTGCTTAGATAGTTTCGAGTGGAATACTGTACTCGAAATTTAATTTGTTCGTTCTAGCTGGAGTATTTGTAAAAGTTGGCATAGATTCAAAGTATTGTGAATACGAATTACGATAATGAATTATCGTAATTAGCATAATTCATCAATCAATAATCAATAAATTGCTTTTATTGATTGCTCGTTTCATTACGTTATGGTATAAAGGGCCGCGTTTCTTTGGTAGCTAACAAAAAGTATACAGGCCACAGGCTGAGCGCGCTAGCGGCGAGATCGGAGCTAAAAGTAAATGCACCCTATGTAGCGAAAATGACGTCACGAGCAGCTATCACTACACGTCGCTGCATTATGCAGGGTGGGAAAGAAAGTCAGTTAACATCCCTGCTACAGAATATAAAATGTACCCGAAGTTAATTCGCTCATGTCAGTAACACACTAGACCAAGGGGGAAAGAAATTGATGTG